TTTTAAAAGATCTAATTATTTATGCATACAGAACTGAGGTACAGGCCAGAGGCAGGGGTAGTGAGAGGGTTCACCAGAGACAGAGCGGGGAGCAGAACAGGCTAATTGACTAAACTGCTGAGGGGAGCAGGTAGGCGGGTCAGGAGAGGTCTGCCGTGCCATGTGGGTCACCTCTAGGGTGGGAATTGAACTCAAGCGGAAGTGGCTTTAGCTTCTTAGTACTGTGCTTTAACCTGCTGCACCACCAGGGAGGGCCCTTCATATATATTTTTAAGAGGTATTTATTTATGCGTACAAGAACTGGGGTACAGCTCAGAGGTGTGGGGATGAGAGGATTCACCAGAGAGAGAGGGGAGAAAAACAGGCAAATGGACTGAAGTACACTGCTGAGGGGAGCAGTGGGCATGATAGGAGAGGTCTGTTACGCCATGTGGGTCAGCTCCCTGACAGGGGATCGAACTTGTGCATATCTCTTCATAGTGCTTTAACTCATTACACCACCAGGGAGGGCCCCAAATTAATATGTTTATTGAAACCTTGTCAAATGTAGCAGTAACTGAAGAGAAGTAATGACAGAGATGTAGGTGGTCCCTGAGCTCATAATTATTTATTTTTACATGTACTCCCTGGACTTGCTTCAGGGCAGACTTCACATCCTGGTTCCTCAGTGTATAGATGATGGGATTCAGTAATGCAGTGACAATAATGTAAAAAACAGGGTCACTGCCCCATCCAGGGGACTTCTGGAGCCAGCCCGAATGTAGGTGAAAGTGCAGGGCACATAATAGAGTGTGACCGCGGCTAGGAGGGAGCCACCGGTGGAGAAAGCTGTGTGCCGCCCCTCGGCAGTGCACATCTTCAGGATGGCATAGACTATGCTGGCATAGGAGAGCAGAATTCACATGAAGCAGCTGGCGGCCGCCACCCCGATGTCCACAAAGTCACAAGTTCATCGATAGTCGTGTCAGCCAGTACCAACACTGCAGGGATGTCACAAAAGAAATAAGCTACTTCACTGGGCCCACAGTAGGGCAGGTGGAAAGTCAGGGTGGCCTGGATAGCCCCACAGATGGAGCCGGACACCCAGGTTCCAGCCACTGGGATGGTGCACAACCTCCCGTTCATGAGCACGGGGTAGCGCAGGGGCTGGCATCTTGCCAGGTACCTGTCATAGCCATCACAGTGTGGAGGAAACACTGGGTGCTGCCAAGGGAGTGACCCAAATACAGTTGAGCCACACAGCCACTGAGTGGGATTGCCTTGCTGGTGGGAGTGAACTGCAGTATAAATCGAGGAATGGTGAGAGAGGAGAAGGACATGTTCAGCAGAGAGAGCACGCCCAGAAGAATGTACATGGGCCGGGCATGGAGTTTTGGGTCAATCTACACGGTGACTGGAATGAGCAGGTTCCCCAGCTGAGTCAGGGTGTAAACGACCAAGAAGACCAGGAAGAGCAGGAGCCTCAGGTCTAGGGGGTGAGAGAAGCCCAGCGGAATGACTTCTGTCACTGTTGTGTCCAGCGATGTGTTTTTGGTCTGCCCCATGTCTGTCTGTATCTGCTAAGATGAATGGTGAATTCAGACAATGGAAATACAACACAGGGAAATGGTGGGAGGATGTTTTTTCCTAATGACCAGAGTCTTGGACATAAACAATGGACTTCTTTCTCTATTTTATCTGCCAACTATCTAGGTTTATTCACAAAATATGCTTTCAGAGGCTGTTAAGTGTCTTGGTGACCTGCCATGGTCCCAAGGGCAGACTATACAAGTATTGAAAGTTAAGACACAAGGTTGTATGTAAAAAATATAGTAAGTGCATACCATGGGTTCTGTTCCAAAGGGAAACCACAGAGAATTGGGATCTGGAGTCATAGTGCAGCACGGAACAATTATTCCACAATTGCCCTCTTGTTGTGGGCCTCTAACTCTTTATCCTCATAAAGTTCCCTTCTATAATCTACAAGACTCTTTGAGATCTGGCCCTTGCATATTTCTACAGACTTTTCCTTTGGTTCCTTTGGATCACACATCCTCATTCTGGAAGTACTCCCCTTGGAATGTACTAATTCTTCTTAACATAACTTCATCAGTCATGATTTACTGTGGTTGTCATCTCCTTTGGGAAGTGTTCCTCTGTCTTAGAATAAAAGCTAATTGCAGTAAAGTATGATAAGAGCTATTTGCTTAAATGCTTCTTCTTCTTCTTCTTCTTTTTTTTTAATGCATACAGGAACTGGGGTACAGGCCAGAGGCATGGGGGAGAGGTCTGCTGTGCCATGTGGGTCTCCTTCCCTGGCCATGTATTGAACTCGTGCTGCAGTGGCTGCAACAGCTTCATAGTGCTGTGCTTTATTTATAACCCCTTGCGCCACCAGTGAGGGCCCCTAAATGCTTAATAACTTTTACTGGATTAAACTCAAAGCAAAGACCTAGTCTATTTTATTGTTTTTATGTTTCTGTAGTATCTGTTCCAGAGCTTGACAATAAGTTAAGAAATATTTGTTGGGCCTCCCTAGTAGTGCAAGGGGTTAAAGTGCAGCTCCATGGAGCTGTCCACAACCACTGCAGCATGAGTTCGATCCCCAGTCAGGGAGCTGACCCACACGGCACAGCAGACCTCTCCTGTCTCCCTGTTGCTCCTCTCAGCAGTGCATTTCAGTAGATCTGCCTGTTCTGCTCCCTAGTCTATCTCTTGTGGATCCTTTCACCCCCTGTACCTCTGGCCTGTACCCCAGTTCTTGCTTGCAAAAGTAAAAATTAAAAAAAGAGTAATATTTATTGGCTGGTTGAATGAATATTATGAATTCCTGTTAACTTCTTTTCTCTGAGGGTTACATCTATTATATACATATGGTATATGTCACATAATCAGGACTATAGGCAGAGGGATTAGCTTCAAAGTTCAGCAAGGTGACTCTACTTTTAGTGTAAACAAACCCAAGACATAATTTACACATTCTGTTTGCTCTAGAGTGTTATTTAAACTTAATGATTGATCTAAATAGTTTACATTTGGACTATAACAACATTGATTATTGTATCAATAGGAGATAACCTTTACTATGTTGTTATTTAAAGACCTTATTTGACTTTCAACAAATGAGACTCAAAAGCCCTTTAATGGGATCAAACATCCGAGTCAGTTGTTATTTAAAAACTCCCTTAGGGCCTCCTCAGTGGTACAAGGAATTAAATCTCAGCGCTATGATGATACTGGCAGCCACTGCTGCATGGGCCAGCCACTGTGGCATGCGTTTGATCCTTGTCCAGGGAGTGACCCACATGGTGCAGCAGACATCTCCTGTCTCACCTGCTGCTCTCCTTTGCAGTGTATTTCAGTCGATCCGCCTGTACTGCTCCCCAGTCTGTCTCTGGTGAATCCTCCCACCCACCGTACCTCAATTCTTGTATGCATAAATAAAATAAAAATAAATCTTAAAAAAAGGTGAAGGTTTTGAGTTGGGGTGGCAGACTGGGGTTTCAGAGAAAGGCAGGCAGAGTGGAGATGGGTAGAGGAGATTCTAGAAGGGAGACACTGTAGGATCAGGGAAAGTCTTTGCGATAGACAGAGCCTTTTTATCTTTTAGATTTATCTATGCACACAAGACCTGGGGTGCAGAGCATAGGTGGGCGGGGTGAGAGGATTCACTAGAGACAGAGTGGGGAGCATAACAGGCAGATCCACTGAAATATACTGCTGAGGGAAATAGCAGGTGAGACAGGAGAGGTCTGCTGCACCATGTGGGTCAGCTCCTGCTGTAGTGTCTGTGGATAGCTTGAAAATTCTGTGCCTTTCACCCTTGGGCCACCAGGGAGGTACCTCAAGACAGAACCATTTAAGAGTGATTTAGAAAAGAGTCTTTTAGAAAATGCTTTTCTATTTTCTAGGAAAGAGGCCAGTAAAGGTTAAAAAAAAAAGTGAAAGAAAGTGAATCAAACGATTCCTCCTTTAACTTATTTGTGATTATTTTCATAGAGCTGAGAATTTTTTTCAGCATTATTAGGCTATTTAAATTGAGAAGCGAGGGCTTCCCTGGTGATGCAGGGGTTAAAGTCTCAATGCTGTCAAGCTATGGCTAGCCACTGTGGCATGAGTGAGATTCAGGTCACAGCAGCAAAATCTTGGAAAAGGCTGGCTTTTCTCAGGTAGAATGGTGAGTAAAATATCCTTCAGAGTATGCCCCACGGTTGTGCTGGTGGGTTACTGGATCGTTGTTGTAGAATGGAGTCAGAGTCTTCTGTGGGTCTGCTAATCCTAAATGGCCTATCCAGCTTCCATTTTATTACCTACAGTTCTGTATTCCTAAGCAAGGTCAGAACTGCCTGGCCATAGGAGCCCAACCTACAAGGTGCCTTTCACATCAATTAAGAGCATAAAGCTGGATCACCTGGGAGGGGTGAGCATCACGAGGTATGCTGGGAAGGCCTGGGGGGCTGATGACAGATGTGTAATGGACCCCAGAAGCTGATCAGTGGAACTCCTTGTTGATAAGATTGAAATCCTGACTGGGGAGTCAGGGCTGGATCTACATATCAAGCTATCAGCAGACGAGAAATAGAGTTCCACCTTTCCCCTGCTTCTTCTACTTCCCCATCTCCTTTTCTGCTTCTCACATAACTAATGCTGTATGACTAGTTTACCACTAGAAAGGCCAGGATCTTGCTCTTGAGCAGCATCCTGCACTATGTAGCTGCTCCACGACTCCAGTCTCTATCAGTGTGGTATTGCCCGACGCAACACTCTTATTTTAATGTGATAAGCTCTCCTGTCTTTGGAGGTCTTTATAAATTGCGACTTCTGTACGTAAGTGTTTCAAATTTTACATCAGTTACTTTACTAGCTAGATCTTCTTTGTTTGATTTTTTTAAACAAAACAAAACAAAACAAAACAAAAAACACTGCCAAGAGATTTGTAGAAAGCAATTTAGCTCTTGGGAGTTCCACCCTAAGGTCTTTCCCTCATGAGAATTACATTCCCTAGATCCTCATTATTTTCTTTTGTTTTGAGAACAAGCAGGACTCACTTCTACATTACTAGAATTTATACAGTGAAGAACAACATGATCTGTTCTGGGGAACCTCTCCTATCTGAGAACTCTTTCTTTGAAGTGCTGTGGGATCACACATTTACCTATGTTATGCTCAGAAATGCATTGCAGATGCACTTCATTTTCAATAATTGAGCAAGTTTTCCTTACATGTCCTACCTCTTTATATACTGAGAGGTGAACAAAAAAGTACCCTCAGTTTAGATCAATTCAGTAACTTTAGTCATTTGCATTTGAAGTCTTTCATCGCTCCATTGTGTGAATGGCAGTGGAGAAAGAGCATGTTTCAAATTGTTGGCATGTTCCTTGAGTATATCCTGTTCTTTCTTAAGGTGTGGCAGATCTGGTGAGGTTTTGGACAATGCAGTTGATGATTTGGGGGTGAATGCTCCCCTGATATGATTTAAAATCAGTTGTGTGCTGCAGTTGGTTGGGTATAGCTTACAGTGGCTTACCGGTCAAACTTTCAGAAATTTTATGAGCTCTTGTTAATATAAGCTTGCAATTAAATATACATTTTCAATTAAATAATTTATTATTATTGTTTATATTATTATTTTAAAAAGATTTATTTCTTTATGCATACAGAACTAGGGTACCGGCCAGAGGTGCAGGGCCAGTAAGAGAATTCACCAGACACAGAGTGGGGAGCAGAATAGTGGGCGGGTCAGGAGAGGTCTGCCGCACCAGGTGGATCACTTCCGGGGCGGGGGATGGAACTTGCACTGAAGTGGCTGCGGCTCGTTGGTCTTTAATCCGTTGCACCAGGGAGGCCCTTAAATAATTTATAATAAAATGTAATAATACTCAATTATTTTAGTAATATTTATGAGGCTTTTCTATCTTGAGGTTAATCTATCTCACTCTTTATGAGGATAGCTATCTCATCTTTAAGGTGGAAATGCTATAGGATGGTGCCTAGGTCACCAAATTCATATGCAATGATGTTATCTTGGAGTTTGAGTTTGATAATGGGAGTGTTCACCATGGAAACTGGAAGTTACATAAATCACTGCTTTTTGAGGGGTCAGAGCAGCCAGATTTTAAACATTACCAGCGTACCACTAGCTGGAATCTGCATTTCTTGGTCTTTTGTTCTGGAAGTCTGTGCATGATGCAGTGACTTTGCTTGCAGCCAGCCGTGGGCTGCTCCCTGTCATTCCCAGTATGTCAGCCTTCCCTAATCATAGACACCTTTGATTATATTTTCACCCCATTCAAGCACTGGAAAGTCAGTCTTATATATTTATGTTCCCTCATATTATAAGTTGATGGCCAGAGTTATCTTAAGGAACTGCAGCCTCTCTGTGCCATTCCCACAGAGATGCTTGGATATCTGTGGATAGAGAAAACACACAGATTCAAATATGAGCTCCAGTTTCAGGGGCACCAGATTGAATGCTCCCCAATTGTGGGATAGATAATCAAGCTGCCCCTTATCTGATCGCTAGATTCTGCATTGCCCTTGATGAATAGTAGTAAGGTTTTATTAA